GGTCTGCGTGTCGTTGGTGGGCCCCAATTAGGGGTTGCCTCCCAGGATATTATTATTATTATTATCATCAGCTTCAATTCAAGGTGAACTTTCTCTATACATACTTATAAAATGATCGTTTTCGATACATGGACCATAGTAAAATATAGCATTCATAACTTTATACGGCTGTCCAGCTATTAGTATTGCACTTGTTGGAAGAGCACATAAATTAATTTTTTTTGGCACCTTCACTAATGTTCCATTTTGATATAAAAATGAAATTAAATGGACGATTATCTGTTTCGTCTCTTAATGTTATTTCATTTTTAAATAATATATCATTTCTCACAACGTTCACATAATTTATTATTTTATTTAGACCAATGTGAAAATCAAGTATTTAGTAAATTGTTAAGATTAAAACTTTCCTCGTTCGAATTGTTAACAAAAATTGAGAAAATAAAATTATTAGTAGTAACTTTTGTATCACCACATGTTATGCATCGACAAGTAGAAATAATTTGATGCTCAATCAAATTTTCTATAAAATCATATTTAGTACAAAGAGCTACAACAAAATCAAATGCATCTCGTTTGATACCAGTTGAAAAATACTCCCCTAGATATTTTCGTACTGCGTAGGTACTCAAATTAAGTACATATTCCGTTTTCACATTGATGCGCTAATATATTTGAAACATTTAGTTTATCAGAATAAAATAATTGTTTTCTAAATAATTAAATGAAATAAACATTATAATGTAGCATTAGCATTGCATGAAACTTTGTCAGTATTTTGAAAACCACGTATAACCCAAGAAGTAGTACTTTGTCGAACTTTTTGATCTGGCTGTTGAACGGAAGTTATTATTTTCGGTAATGTCCATGGCACATCTTTAATTTTACGATAACTCTTTTGAAATAGTAATAATAATCTGTGCTTCTGGTTTATGTGGTCGTTTAGCCGATCATATTCAATAATTGCTTCTTCACTAGTTATTATAGATAAAGAATCGCATTAACCAAATATTAAGGTCCACTTTCGTTGCTAATTTTACTTTATTTTTATATTAAAATTAGAATTCTATGAAGGCATTGTGAACAGCAGCTTAATGGACAAAACGCTTATGTATGTTACATGTACGACTGAAAAAATTTGAAAAGCTGAAATGGTCCCTTTTTAGGAAATGATCTCCAAATCTCGATATCGGCTGCACCAATTTTATTCGGACTGATCGCAATCGAAAGATACCGACGACATATAATAAAAG